AGCTATGCTAACCACATCATCCAGAAGAGCTGCCAGGGTGGGCAAGGCAGCCAAGGCCCAGAGGCAGGATGAGGGAGGATCCCGCTTGAATGATCAGAGGAGGAGACAACTATCTGAATTAAGCCTCAAATGAGGATTAAGAAGGTGGGTGGCACCTATGCCAAGAGCTGGGGAAGAGAAGTGCAAGCTGAGGGAACAAATGTAAAGGTCCTGAGGTGGGAAGAGCTGGCCAGGTATAAAACTCACCAGGCTAGAGGGGCTGCTGTGAGGGAGAGGAAGGAGTAGTGCCGATAATGAGGCACTGAGGCTGTGGTAGTGATTTGGACTTTCCTCCAAGATTAATGGGAAAGGCCCTGAAGTTTAATCAGGTGAGAGACGTGATCTGATTTGTTTTTAAAGGACCCCTTTGGCTGCTACATGGAGTCTGGACTATGGGTTAGGGTGACAGGGATGCAGATGGACCCCGGAAGAGGCTACTGTGCCATCTGGATGGGAAATAATGAGGGCTGGGAGTGCTCATAGATGAAGTGGAAGATCTAGGATGCACCCAGGAGCATGCCAGTCCCTGCTTTATCTGTTAGACAACCTGCAGCCCTCAGCATGCTGCTCAGGGGACCCTGGTTCACAGCCTAAGCTGAGGCCAGCTCTGTCCAGACCCCTCAGCTAGGCCTACTTGACAGTACTTCTCCAGACAGAATAAATCCTGTCTGGATTCATTATTCTGTGCTCTCAGCTCAGCTGGGCACTCTTGGTGCTGAGCCTGGTTCTGTTTTGGGTTCCCAGAACCTGGTAGCAACCTGGTACCAGACTCCCTTCTCACAATCCTCACTCCAACCTGGGCTGGTGCTCAACTGCCACTAATATCCCAGAGCAAGCCCACTGTGCCCCTCTGTCAGGGCGGAGGGCTGGGTGGTGTTCCTACACCTTCTCTCTGCACAGCTCCCCAGATGGGGGACCGTTGTCACTTCCTTCCTCTGCTAGAGTCAGGTCTTGCTCATAACCCTCTCCTCTTGCTCCCTCAGGGCTTGTTTCCATGCCCTCACTAGGACCTCAATCCTGGGACTCAGTGGTGAGCCCTATGGCCAGGGCCCCACACATAAGTCTACCATTTCCCTTGTGCCCCTCACACTAGAGCTGCCACTTGATCCCCGGGCTGGAAGGATGCCCAGGTACTAGGATAACTATGGGATCAGGGACAGGGAGTGTGGCCTAAGCCTCTGCAACAGTCAAAAGCCACAACTTTTTTTTTTTTTTTTTTGTCATTGAGATGTAATTCACATTCCATAAAATGCACTATTTTAAAATGTACAATTCAGCGATTTTTCGTATATTCACAAGGTTGCAACTGCCACCACCATCTAATTCCAGAATGTATTCGTCACCCCAAAGAGAAATCCCATGCCCATTGGCAGTCACTTCCCACTCTTCCCTTCTCTCAGCTCCTGGTAAACCACTTTCTGTTTCTATGGATCTGTCAATTCTGAGCAAAAGGCTCAGAATCCTTCCAGGCCACAGACTCCAAGAGGGGCCCGTAGAAAGGGCCACAGAGCAACGCTTCCTCATATCCTTTTTGGATAGAACCAGACTGGTGGTCTTGTACATCTAATCGCCTGAGTTTGCCTTGGGAATGCTGCCTTATTATGTTAATTTCAGAATCCCCCCCAGAGTCTGGCTCAGGACCAGCTCACTACCCTATCTCTCCACTCCTACCCCATTACAGGTCTCAGAACTGAGAAGAAAACATACACACACACACACATACACAGACACACACACACACAGAAACAACAGTTATGATCTAGGCCAGTAACTGCCTGCAAGCCTATATTAGATGCCTGGCAAACAACTTGCATGGAAAAAGCTTTGACTTAACTTTCCCCTTCCCCAAACAAAGCTTCAAAGAAACCAAATACCAAAAAGCAATTTTTTTTTTGGAAAAAAGTGTCTCTCTGCCCCATGGCAACTGGTTGTCAGTCAGACATTTGGCTCCTGGCAAGGTTTAAGTCTGCTTGTTTGGAGGCCTTCAGACGTGGTGGCCACGTGAACATCCCTCCCACACGTGAGTGGAGATGGTCTCTGATGTGGGTTTGCCCTGCTATCTATGGAAATGCAACAATTCATCTTGAACATCTTAGATCCTGAGCACAATTTTTTGTTTGTTTTTTGGGTACCAGGAATTGAATTTAGGGGCACTTGATCACTGCACCACATCCCAACCCGATTTTATATTGGAGATAGGGTCTCACTGAGTTGCTTAGCACCTCACTTTTGCTGAGGTTGGCTTTGAACTCACAATCTTCCTGCCTCAGCCTCCTGAGCCACTGGGATGAAAGGCATGTGTCACTGTACCCAGTTTGAACCCAATTATTTAAACATTTTTTTTAGTTTTCAATGGACATTTATTTTATTTATTCATATGTAGTACTGAAGATCGAACCCAGTGCCTCACACATGCTAGGCAAGCGTTCTGCTATTAAGTCATAACCCCAGCCCCTTGAGCAAAATTTTTGACCACCTACATGTCCTCAGAGAGGCTGGACAAAGGATGAGAAGACCTAATTCTAAGGCTTGCTAACAGGGCTTGGTAGCATATTTGGTAGTCTGTCCCCCACAGATGGGCTTGATAAAGACCAGCTTTGGAAAAACTCCCATGACAGTTTTTCCTCAGGGCCCTTTCTAGAGCTCCCAACCAACTATAGAAGACTTTTTCCTGACTCCAGACACATTAACTCTTTTTTGTTTATTTGTTTGTTTGGTACTGGGGACTGAACCAGAGGCATTTACCACTGAGCCACATCCCCAGCCATTTTTATTTTTCTTTTGAGACAGAGTTTCACGTTACTGAGGGTCTCACTAAGTTGATGAAGTTGGCCTCAAACTGTGATACTACTGCCTCAGCCTCCTCAGTCACTGGGATTACAGGCATGCACCACCATACCCGGCCAGACATATGAACTTTGAATCAGATGATAAAAGTGCTCCAAAGATATGAAGCCAATCTCTTTTGCTTTGTAAAACCCAACCATATTTGAAGTGTCCATACAATTTTCTGCATAATTCAAACAACTACTTTTATTTGCTATGTGTTATAACTATCAAGTTTGCTTAAAACAGGCTCCCCTATATTCATGTACATTTCCTCACCCTATGTCACTCTAACATAGGTCCCTGCCTCTGTCCTTGTCCCCAGCCCCAAAGAGCAGCTGAGGCCAGGACACAGAAATTCAGTGCCAGAGCCTGTCCTCCCATGTTCCCAGAAACTAGGAGTGGGGGCAGCAGCTGGGTGGGGAGGAGGGTGCAATGCATAGACAAGCATCTGCCACAGCTTGGGAAAAAACTGGAGGCTGAAAAACATATGCCCCAAGCCAGGTAAGTGGTGCTGATCCTGACTGTGGGAATCCACCTTCTGCCTACTCTTTGACCAGTGTAAACCAAAGGACACCAAATGGTCTTATGACCCACACCCTTATAGCAGAATGAAGCCCTTCCTGCTCTGGATACTCTCCTGCCACTTGCTCACACTGTAAGAGGAACCACTGCCTTCCCTCTGCTCTGCCATGGAGTCCTGGGAGCTAGCCCTGCCAGGACTGGGGCCTAGGCCTCTTGTCCAGTCACAGTTACTATAATGACCATAGCCCCAGTCCAATTGATGCATGCCAGTGACTGAAAATGGTGGGTTATGTCAACTGGCCCCAAATCAAAGAGTTTACACCTTGCAGGGAATCCAAAAAAGCATCTGTTCCTGCAGGATGCAGGGCTATGGGGACAGTGGCTTCATCAGGTGGCAGGGTGGGGAAGAAGCCCCCTCCCTCATAGACCTGGAAAGAAGAGAATTACCCTTTATATCACAGAGCAGAGAAGTCAAGCAGACTTCTCAATAGTTAATGTGCTTGGTGTACAGAGATGAGAAGGGGGTCCAGAGGGCAAAGATTTCATTTCTCAAGTCAGCTGTCTACCAGGTTTTTAGGTCTGAGCTTCTGGAGAGCAGCCTGCATCTGTCTTCTCACCTCCCGCCAGCTTTAACAGGAAATAGCTCTCAGAACCTCCTTCCTCACTCCTGATCTGAACCAGCCTCACAGTCATCCTGTCCTCCTTCTGGGTGGACCCTGCCTGTGGCCCCATGCGCTGGGTTTACATTTGCACCCAATATCAACCTACCACAGACCTCCCCAAGCCTTCCATGCACCCTCACCCCCAACTTGGGTCAACTGGGGACTGTCTGAAATATTAATGTGAATTTTTTTTTTAAATGCAGCTTTAAAAGCACTCCAAATAGGCTCTTCACACTTTATCTGGACCGATGGAAAAAAGCATGGTTTGTAATGATCATGAAATCTTTTCAGAGCTCTAGGTACTTAAAGGATTTAACTCACAATTCACTGAGCTGGTCTCTTACTGATACCACTGATTTGCAATACATCTCTGCAAACCTTTCTTAGCAGGTAAGAGACCAAGAATGCCTCCTCAGAACTCACCTGGTATGTAGGGTCCTCCTTTGGCACAGGCACATTCATGCCACTAAGGACATACAGTGGAGAACCTTTCTTCTGCATAACCAGAAGATCTCATCAGGTCTCCTTTTCTGCCCACCCCTCCAACACCCAGGCTCAGGGCTTCCCAGGAGAAAGCTAACTGCAGAGCTCTGAGCTCAAATCACATTAAACACACCAACCTCGAGAGGAAGGTGATCTCAGCTCAAAAGTTGTTCACCCCAGCATCATGCAGCACAAGGACCAGGCCTGCACCTGCTTATGAGTGTGCTGGGAAGACAAAAGCCAATAGCTCCAGGGCAGGGGATGATCCAAGGCAGGCCCTCCTTCCTCCCCCTAGAATTCTCCTCTTGGTTTAGATCCCACTGGTTATGTACAAGGAAAAAAGACAACCACAGAATGCTCACATACCTATTTCTTCTAGGCAAAAGTCACTTCTTGCCCATGCCTCACCTACCTGGTCAAAAGAAGAAGCAAGCGCTAGGGACACTGGCTGCTGGGGTCACTTACCAGTGGAGGCTGCGGCTGGGGATGCTGCCCTGCTCCTGAGGCGGGTGGGTAGTGCATGAGCAGATTGAAGGCGGAGTAGACAGTCTCTTTGTACATGCCGCTGGAGCACTCTGGGGCCTTCAGGCC